GAATCAAGCTCCTGCCAGGGAGATAAGCGTTGTCTCCTTAGTGGCTTATGGTCCGAAGGTCACTCACTCAGCCTTAGCCATGGAGGGGTTACAGCTTCTGAAACTAGGCAGGGCGGTTCCCAACAGTTCTATTTGTCTAAGAAATGAGGATGATTCTTATGGTGGGAGTAAAAAGGGGGAAAAAGGTGATATAAGGAAGATAGGTTAGCATTTGTTAACGAAGATATATGCAGGTTCATTTTTTAGTTCCTGGACCAAAGCCAGGAGGTGGAGGATAAAGATGGGCAGGAGTAAGCCTCAGCAGGTGTTCCCTTCCCTGTGTCTGGACCAGCCTGCTTCTGTGCTCTGTAACCTGGGGACACATCCGGATATGTGAAGGCTCCCATGAGCAGGTTCTGTGACCAAAGGCAGCCATGTTTATGCTCCTCATACAAAGGAGTTTAGCAATAAGGTGTCTGGGGAGGAAGCCTTAACCAACCCCCTCCAGTTATGGTGCGCACATTGTAAAGTCATTCCTGAAAACAGGGCCTTCTCTCAGGGGGGCACAGAGGCTGCCATGTCTGGGTTGATGGGGAACATGAGTCCTTCCAAAGTCATAAGGACTCTGTGAGCAGGGGTATCTTCATTCCTCACTCCCAGCCCCTAACCATGAACCCACTGCCCTGGGTCTGTGGGTGGGATCTGGGCATTCTGTGAAAACCCGTTGGCTGGGGGTTTGGTGTCTGTTCTTCTCACAACCTTGGCAATTTTGTCGGTCTCCTTTAAGGCCATTGGAATTGCCTGGTGTGACAGTCCCTCGTCTTCTTAACTTAGCTGAGTCCCCAAAGCTGGGCTCATTTCTCCTCTTGCCTCTTTGCATAAAGTTTCATGCGCAGGTGATGTTTTAGCATCTCTTTGTTTTCTGTCTGAAAAGTTGCGATTAATGAAAATAACAATGGCCGCAAGCGTGTGTGAAGGTAATTGTTTTAAAGGAGCAAAGGAGACCATGTACCTACAAAGAAAGAAAACAGCTGAGAAATGGGAAAGAAAGCATTATACCCTGCTGCAGTTGGTTGGTATTTGGCCTTTTATGTTTCTCCTGAGGAACATGAGTGCCATTGAGCTCAGAGGACACGGATGTCCCAGACAAGAAATAGAGGGTGCGTGGAGGCAGTGAGGGGGGCCTCCCCAGTGGGCATTTTTTGAATCCCTTGGGAAGCGTCACTTGAATGTTCTAGAAACCAGTAAGCGGCTGGAAAATAGGTTCTGCTTGGACAGCCGCCAGCCCAGTTCACAGAGCTCAGCTCTGCCTCACACATTTTGAGTTCCAAGGAAACATGCTGCTGATCGGCCTCAGGGTTAGGGGTTTCAGCGAGTTTTCATGCAGACACTAAAATGTACTTTCTGTATTTCCCTCTGTCACAGAAAAGAGCTCGGGGGTAGAATCGGAAGTGTGGGCACTTTGGTGCCAACTGGACCCATTAGCTCCTGGAGAGGTGTTGGTGCCATGATGATATTGCAGTGACCCCTTAGCTATCCGGCCTCACTGGATGATGTGGTGTGTGTGTGTGTGTGTGTGTGTGTGTGTGTGTGTGTGTGTGAGCTCTGAGCTGATTCTTGAAGAAAGTAAACTCAGGAGAGTGGAGGTGTGCACTTCGGGAATTCCTCTTTGACCAAACAGTGAAGAATGGATGCCGTCTTCATCCCTGTTCGGACATGGCTTTATCACGAGGACAATGTAAACACCATGTCAGATTCAACACATGGAGAGACACAAAGCTAAAGGGGAAGAGGTGTCAGAATTGTCATCTTGGATCTGAAGATTGTCAAAACATGCAGCTTTTTCCTTTCCACAAAAATTTTTTTCCAGCAGAAAACTAAAGCTTTTGCTGTTCTTTTGTGAGAGCGATTTGGATGCCCGTCAGAGCAAACAGGCATTTATGAACTGAGTCTGGCCCTTCCTTGGCCTGCCAGACCACGTCCTGTCGGCTTCAGAGCCTGAGATCTGCACCCAGTGAATATTAACAGGGGCAAAGCTGGAGTCACTGCGATTTGCATTTGCTGCTGCAGTTTTTCTCCATCTGCTGGGGGGGAAAAGCATTTTTAGCTCTCATACAACTCTCTGTTAGAAACTCACTACTATCTTTAAGGCATTCTACCTTGTTCAATAATTTATGATTTTATTATTCATAACTAATGCTTTATATGATCATTTTCCTTACATTTTAGTCATGAGAAGTTTATATAATTATAGTAAAATGCAGGCACCGGATTACTATTAGCATCAGACAAGTGTCTAATGATGCTCCTAGGTTTAGAGTGTTAACATATTTTCTTTTTTTCTTTATCTCAGGTTTTCACTTTTATTCTAGTAGGACTAAAAATTAGCCTTTTTTTCCTGATTGCAATCTATGATTAAGAATCAACTAAGTAGGCTACGTGCAAGGATAAGAGATGAATAAAGGTTAAGAGGTGAATAAAGAAATTATTCTGATGGAAATAAAGAGATCTGTGGCAATCCTCTGTTAAAGACCTTTAAAAAAAGTCAGCTATGCTTGAGCTGTGACTTGGTCTCTAAACAAGGGGAAAAAATGTAAACCCAAGTCAGTTTTCCGTTTTCTAACTAGAAAGAGCATATCACACTCATGACCTAGTTTTTGACCCCTTGCACGGGGTGGTAGGCTGTGCGGTGCAGAAAGAGCAGGTTGGTGCTGCTGGGGAACTAGGCACACGCATAAAGTTCAGTTTCTTGAATGCAGTGACCCCGTGGTACTGCTGCAGTGTGAGAAAGCAGCGCCACCTGCTGCTTGAGCTTGTTTATGTTTGAGAATTTGCTAGTAGAAATTCATCTCTCCAGACCTCCACAAGCAAAATTGGTTTGTTGCCCTCTGTCTTTTAAGATGGACATCTGGGTCAATTAATTGAAATATTTATTTTCTTTGTGCATTCATGCACAAAGTTTATATATTCATATTAAGAACAATAATTAAATAAGGAGTGGTAGAGAGAATGAGACATAAAAAACTACCAGTATGAAAAGCCTGTGAAGATAGAATATTCCTCTATTGCTATGTCTTTCAGTCTGAAAGTAGGTGATGTTCTCCACCTGCCTTTGAACATGTCATGGTGACTTTAGAGTCAATAGGTAATCAGTGCTTGTTGAAATCAAACCATTGTTTATATTTTATCCCAGGCCGCCCAGAAGTCAAGTCCCTTATTAAATGATTACAGACTTAATAGGCCTTCACTGAATTCCCCTTTCTCTAGCATACTTTATTCATAGCATGGCACTTAATTCTACAATATTTTAAATAGCCCCCCAGGTCCCTGCTGTGTCCTTCATCCTAGCCTCACATAAGCATTGGCAGAGAGTGTGGGCAAGAGCATGTCTTTTTATTAAGTTGAGGTCACGAATTACCCTACCAACCATTTTGGCTTATTTTACTTAGTCTGTGACACCACAATGTAAATGGGTGACAGTAGACATGGTGTAATAGTGATTGTGATTATTTTTACTGTCCCCTATAACTCTTCCAAGGCCTTGCCTGGTTACTGACCACTCATATTACTCGTGATGAAGCTCACACTTGGGTGCTGAGAAATGCATATCATTTCAGATCCTGACGCGGAATTAATTTTCATCCTGCACTCATTTCTTTAAATCTCTCCGTCACACTATTCATTTACTTATATTTTAATGGAATGTCATACAGTCCAGAACTGGTGATATTTGACATGTGTCGGGGCTTTGATTTTTTAACACACTGGAACTACATCTCCATCATATGTCAAAGTCATAAATGTATCATTGAAACGCATTAGAAACCTAGGCTTACCGAAGGACAGAGGGTTCCAATTTTGTATCTTGGTTTCAAGAGAAACCTACTCAAATTTCAAGTACTGTCAAAAATATGATTTCCTCGTGCTTGTCTCTATCTTAAAAGGCATTGGTTATATATATTTTTGTAACTTCATTCATTCAGTTAAAGCTGATTGAATTCCGTTGTTGTATTAGACACAATCCTAGTTTCTGGCGATTCGGTGACTAAAACATAAACCCCTTGTCCTCAGCGAGCTCCCTCTCTTGCTGAGCAACAGCGTATTGGTAGTTCTAGAACAGAGAGAGAAGGGAGCGGTGGGCAAGAAAAGAAATGAACTCAGCCCAAACTTCAGTGAATAGGTTGTGTTACGTATGCTAGTTAGTGGGGAGGTCCTGGGAGAGGGAAACGCTGAGTGGAGCCTGCAGAGGAGAGGTGTGCTTTCGGGAAGGGATGCCCGGGAAAGGTAATCCAGGGTTGGAGACAAGACCCCGAGGCGAAGGAGAAGCCCAGGTGTGGAGGAACATGGTCCGTTCACTGCGACCGAGACCGCAAGTGACAGAGTTCTGACAGAGGAGACTAGGCAGCAGTAGAGGTCAGACAGCGGAGGCTCTTTCGTGTACTTGGACTTCATTCTGAATACTTTAGTACTTAGAGAGTATTTTAAGAGAGGAAGCCAGAGAGTGAGTGATGGGATGAAATTCAAACTAATTTGAGTGTGTGTGGCTGGAGGGAGAAGGATCAGTCAAGGAGTGGGATAGCAAGGGGTCCCGGGAGGGTGGTGAGCGCTGATGGCCAAGGGCGAGGGCGAGGTGACTGTCTGCCGGGTTATGAGAACAGCAGCACTGGATTGGCGCCCAGTCCAGGTGAAGACTGTTGAAGTCCAGAGACACTTGTGCTTCCAGCAGGGGAAGACTTGCATGGCACCATTCACTGGGATAAAGGCAGTGCCCAGGTTAGAGATGGGCCAACAGGGGAGGGGCTCTAAGGTCAACAGGTTAACTGCCCCCACATGGAGGGGTCCGGTCGGCTGCTTATAGACATGTGGAGTTCAGAGGAGAGATTTCAGTGGAAGATCTTCAATTCTAACCTTTGCGAGTCCTGAATGGTGGTTAGAATGTCACTGAAAGAATAATAAATTGGTTCTGTCTTGCAAGACCTTCTGTCACCCGTGCCTCTGTTTTTATACCCCTCCCCTCCCAGAGGACTGGTATGAACAGCTGTACCCCCTCATCCTGACCCTGAAGGACTGCATGGAGGAAGTGGTGAACCGAGCCAAGCAGTCCCTGACCTTCGTGCTCCTTCAGGAACTGGCGTACAGCTTGCCCCAGTGTCTGATGCTGACCCTGAGAAGGGACATCGTCTTCAGCCAAGCAGTAGGTGCCTCTTGTGTTGTGGGCACTGTGCAGTGCAGGGTGTTCAGGGTTCTCCTTGGTCAGCCTGAGGGTCTTCCCTGGGCGGTGTCATCTTCAAAAGGATCCTTTTCTACAGTTGTGGCACCCAGTTTTTCTTATTCGTAACAAATATGAACCAAAAGTTACATGGAAACAGCTTGTAAGAGCTTATGATTATTTCTGCAAAGAGATGGCCAAGTCTCTGAAACGTACCTTCTGTTTCACGGAGCAGAGGGACTGTGGAGGAAAGAGTCACCCACGCTGTCATCATATCATGCCCTGGGGTCTCCATGCAGGGCCCAGCAGGAGGAAAGGCACAGCTGCCTTGCACTGCAGGTGGCCAGCTAGGCCTGGCAAAGGGGCCTGCGTGCAACCAACTATTTATACACCTCCTTTGTGCAGCCTGGGGTGGGCCTCATAATGGTCTCCTCTTTTATATCTGAAATGAATTTGTCAGCAGGAAGGCTTAGACAGGAGGATGGACAGAACCATCTCCTCTGCCTCCACCCAGCCCTATTTTGGGGCTCCAGGGCCGGCCATGCAGGGGCCTCCCTTCTCCCCTCCTGCCTCTACCCATGATCGAGTTTTATAGACAACCACAAGGAGAGGAGAGACAGAGGCCCCTTCTTCTGAACATTCCAGGCACAGGGAACATTTCAAGCAAACTGCCCCATCCTTCACTATTTCATGGATGGTCCAGCGATAAGTGGAGCTGCACATCGGGCATGAGACCCCGACTGACGCAGTTTTCTCCATGACGGGCTCCTGACAGTCTTTTCTGTGACTCTGAAACGAGCACCCTTGTCTCTACTCTCGTGTGCATAAAGTATTTTTAAAAATAATAACACTATTGGTAAGTGTTAAGTGACATGTTGTTATTTTACTGCCGGACAGGGTAGAGACAGGATTGGTAGACATGTCTGCATGACCCCAGAGCCATCCTTTGGTCTCTTTCCCAAGGGGGCCCCGCCCCCACCCCCTCTCCCCACAGAAGACTGTCGACTGGTTTTGGGCACAGAATACAGCGTCTTGTTACACACACTTGAAACTTTTTAATTAAATCTCTGGTGCCTCAGAAGTCTTTCATATTTTTAAATTAAAGTTTGCTGACCCCCTCAATTCTTCAATGATTTGTTTTTCTAGCTTGCTGGATTGGTTTGTGGCTTTATCATCAAATTACACACCAGTCTGCACGACCCCGGCTTCCTGCAGCAGCTGCACACAGTGGGGCTGGTAGCGCAGTACGAAGGTCTGCTGAGCACATACAGTGAGTATGGGCGGCGTCCGCGCACGGGGAGGCCTTGCTCCTCCTCCCAGGATGCTTGGTCCTTGGGGTCCTCTGTTAAACGTAAAAATGGAAAGTCCAACTTTACTGCATCGAGCATTATGAAAATGATGCGACTTTTTGTTCTTTGTGTTCACTGGGTAACTGGGCTTTTACCCCCTTATGGGATGAAAATCGAATTATAGATTACTTCATAGCAGGGACCTAAGCAGCTGTCTGGCTTTTTTAACCTAAAAGGCACTTTGCCATCCTAGTTCCCATGGCTGGGTTGCCAAAGCCCAGCCGTCCGGTGTCCACGTGGCACTGTTCATCCCCCAGCCCGGTGTGGCTGTCGCACACTTGAAATGGATCTAGTCCAAACCATTGTGTACTGGACATGTCTGCCAGGTTTAAAGACTGGTCAGAAAAGAGTGTTCTAGTCATCCTTAGTTTCTATTAATTTATAAATGGAATGACATTTTAGATATATTGAGTTAGAGGGAAATGTATTATTAAAATTCGTTGTACCTTTTTATTTTAGTCTTTTCAAAATGTGACTACCAATAAATTGAAAACTGTGTGTGTGGCTCACATTCAACTTCTGTTGGATGGTGCTGACCTAGAATCGTACTTGGTCACACTCCTTCCTAGGTTTTATTTATCAGTATATTTACACATAAAACTCACCTGAGCCTCCTAGGTAGGATCTCCAGTTTAGCCATCGCTCCTATTTTTAGAAGCCAAACCTCAGTCCTGCCAGTAGAAAGAGTCCCTCTCAGCACTTTGCTTCCTAAAGCGGTCAAAACGTCTCTCCATCCTCCCAGCCAACCTGCGCATTCTGCACGTCCCCACCCCCCAAAGGGTGCAGGAGCTGCTGGGGTCGGTTGGCCAGGTTCTTATCTCACGGATGAAAACCTTCAGCCTCTGAGGAAAGGCATTGGGAATGGACTCAGCACCTTCCCAATCTCGTCAACTAAAATGCTGGAACAGATTCTACCAGCGAGGTGGGCTGCCAAGTGCCTTTTCTTCAGAGAGTGTGCGTGTAACCAGACTCCGTTCCCTGTTTAGGTGACGAGATCGGAATGCTGGAGGACATGGCGGTGGGCATTGCCGACCTGAAGAAAGTCGCATTTAAAATAATCGAAGCCAAATCCAACGATGTCCTGCCGGTGATAACAGGAAGACGGTGAGTGGCATCCATGTCCCGAAGACCAAGCTGTGTTAGATGTTTGTGTTAACTCTGGCGAAGGAGCCAAGGAGAACTAAGGTCTGCTTTGGACATTCTTGCTTTGTTCTGTTTTCCCTTGTGGGAGAAACAAGTGTAGATGATGTGACAGGGGAAGATCTTGAAAAATGCCTAGAAGTCTCATGACTCTAAATCGTGCAGTAGTGAGGTGAGTGTGCCTTGCTTCCCTATGAAATATGAAGAATTCAAAATAACAGCTTGCATGAGAACACTTTTCTCTTTATTACTACCCAGTGTAAAGGTCTGGGTATTTTTACTTTTGCTGCTGAAATCATTTGGTTAATAGCACCATAATTCTTGAGATGACTTCATATTAAATTCTGTTAAAAGCAGCAACATTTTAGAAAAGATGTATTTCTACATCAGGGGCATATACCACCATTTTTCTTAATTATTTTTGATTATTCACTTCCAGACTGAGATTTCCGAGAATGGTTTTAAATAAATAGCTTCTCAGGTCAGCACATGATGAGCAGAATATCAGAAATAATTAAGAAAAATGATGGTGTGTCATGTAGACCTCCAAAAGAAGAATTATATCCCAGGGTAAATCATTGCAATCAGAAGTCCTCCAAATTTTAACCATTTCTGGTGTTAGCATTCTTCAATGCTTTCTGATGGTATGCAGTGTTTGAAAACATCCTTGGACCACAATGAATCAGCATGAATGTACTAAAGAGAGAGATTGGTTCATGCTAGAGAGAGATGGAGGAGACTAAGTAAGTTCAAATTCATTGTTTTCTTGACTACAGTAAACATCCGATCATTAGTTTAAATTTCGTGTGAAGAATGACTTGGATACAGGGTGAAATGAAAGGTGGCTGCTTCTTATACATCAAGAAAAACCACATTCTCATAAAATTAAATACTTCATCTGCCAACGAATGCTTCATTTGCCATTCATGGGAAGAAAGGGGAGTAAAACTGGTTATTACATACACCTGGAAAATAGTGCCACTCTAAAAAAACTATAAAGATGTGTAGCGAAAGTGAGAAACTGATACTTTTATCACAATTTTTGAGAGACGTTTACCGGGGCATTTTCTGTGAGTGGAGGACAGGATGCTGGTTCTGAGGGGACTCTCCGGGCTGTGTCTAAATTCAGAAGGCAGCCTGCAGGTGAGAGGGGGACCTCTGGGATCCCGGCCCCATGAGCAGCTTAGCAGCTCCGCTCCTCAGAGAGTGGCATCACCACTGGGCAGCACTGTCTCAGACAGTCTTCTCAGGACTGAGGGAGTGATGCACACACATATTTAGAAGCACTTATTCATGGAGAACTCGTGCGATTGGACAAGACAGTTGGGCCTTTTTGCCAAGGGTTGCCCTCATCACCCCCGGCTCTGTCTGCACCACATTAGCAGGTAAAGGCAGCCCAGGTAGACTGACAGTTTTGCTTTCAGAGCCGGGGCGGGGGAGGGGGAGTTGCAACTAGATCTGGGCTGGAAAGCAGAAAAAAGCATGTTCCTGAGAAGCTGTCAGAAATGGTGGTAATTTAGATCATTTCGTTCACGAAAACATCAAAAAAGAATAATCACAGCAGACTAAACTCAACAAAGTACTCTAAGCACTGAACGTATAACACACAAAACAGGGCTTAGGGACATGAATAGCATTGAGTAAGTGGAACGACGGTCCGTGTTCACAAATTAGAATTGTTGGTGTTGCTTAGATGGCAATTCTCCACAAATTCATCTATTGATTCAATGGAAATATCACTTGTATTTCTTGCAGAAATCAGCAAGCTAACTCTAAAATTTACCTGAAAATACAAAGAACCCATGATATGGAAAACAATTTTATAAAAGGGTAACAAAGTTGGAGGACTTATTTTACGATTTCAAACTTCCTAAAAAACTGCAATGATCAAGGCCATATAGGACTGGCATAATTATATACATTTAGATCAGTGGAACAGAATAGAGAGTCCAGAAATAAACTATTACCTTTTGGGTCAATTTCAACAAAGGTGCCGAAGCAAATCACTTGGAGAAGCTTTTCAAAAAATGGTGCCGTGACAACTGGTTATCTACGTGCAGAGGAAACATTAAAAGGTTCCACAAAGAGGTTCTTTAACTGCCCCGTGTAACACAATACATGTGTTACAATCTCAGCCGTCTATGTAGTCCTGAAATCATGTGGATTTCCCCAAATTCTGGGCAACACTCTCTACATTCCTGTGTTCAACCCACACTGTCAAGTTTCAAAATACACAAGCTGGCCATATTTGTGATTCCTAATTTAAGTTTTCAACCCCAAACACTAGAAGTAGTTTTTAATGGAAATTTCCATTTCTTAAAAATGCACCTATTGTATGGTAGTATTTCAAAATGACAAGGAACTGCCAAAGGTTAGCCTTAAATAATGAAACTATTACATTTTCATCAGGGCCAACACAAAAAGGGAGGTCCATCAACAGCAAGAACACTTGGGCAATGGTTATGAAAATATTATAAATTATTTGACTTATTACATTCACTATATTAAAAAATCCTTAAATTACTTTGTTATTCTTGATACTGGTCAGGTTTTAAAAGTAACTAAATTAAGAAAACAAATAGTGAGGCTTTTATGCACAGGGCTCTGAGACACAGAAGTGACCTGAAACATTCTTCCTTCCCTAAAGGAACTCAGACTAATGGAGAGAAATCAAAGACGTAAACAACCCTTTATGCCAAGTAATTTAGTAGCAAAGTGAACGGAATGATCATGGAATGAATAGGATAGCAGAAACTAAGCAGATCGCAGTGCAAAAACCTAAATCAGGGCTGTGTTTCGACGGTTCGCTCTTGTTTGTTTCCAATGAATCGAACATGAAAACAAACGAAACCAGTGACGCTTCTTCTCTCTGCCGCCCCCGCTTCCTCCCTCCCTCCAGCGAGCATTACGTGGTGGAGGTGAAGCTCCCCGCCAGGATGTTCGAGTCCCTGCCTCTGCAGGTCAGAGAAGGCCAGCTACTTCGAGTGCACCCTGTGCTTTTTAACGTCGGCATCAACGAGCAGCAGACCCTCGCTGAGAGGTGAGCTGTGGGCAGGAGCTTGGTCCTTCGGATTTTCTTCTTCTTTATTTATTTGTTTATTTATTTATTTATTTATGTATTGTATTTTTTCCCCCAAGTGCAGTTTGCATTCACTATTATTTCGTTCCAGTTTCAGGCGTGCAGCGTACTGGCTGGACAGCCCTACACTTTACAAAGTGTCCCCCCGATGTTCCCAGCACCCACCTGGCACCTCACCTAGTCATCACAGTGTTACTGACTGTATTCCCTGTGCTGTCCTGAGCACCCACATGACTGTTTTGTGACTACCAGTTTGGTAAATCTAAACAGGTGCCGAGATTTTGAACCCAAGTTAACCGCAAAATACGTTTCTTTCTAAACACAAGAAGAAGGTGGTTTCAGTTTTGGGGTGCGTTATATGTGAAGTGGGGTAGGATCAGTCACACTCAGGTTTTTAATTGGCATCTGGAAAATCCCGACTCGAATGGAGATATTTGCCTGGAGACACACATACTGAAAGCCATTGACATGGCATCCGTTATGGACAAGTGGGTGTTAAGTTTTACCCCAGAAAATGGTTAATGAAGGCACAAGATCAGTGATATACAGATAGAAAGTTTTATCCTGAGAAAGAGGCAGAGGAAGGAGGGCCAGTGCGGTGGGTTTAGGCAGAGGGCTTAGGCCTTCATAGTGCAGACAAAAAAAAATATTGGCGGAGTATCTTCTGGGAGACTGCAGGGCTCGGCATGCGCCATAGCACCCGACAGTGTGGATGAGCCTGTCTGCAGCCCAGTCTGGTCCTCGTCCCTGGGTCCTCCTCCGGTCCCATGGGTGAAGAAGAAGCTTGGAGGGTAAAAAGAGAGAGGGCAGTTTATTTTATGTCTCAGAGCTACAGCCCCGCAGAGGTGGGGAGGCATTAAGCAAATATCAATTCTGCACAAAGCACAGGGGCTGCTGTCTTAGACTTGATATCTCATTCAAGTTTATATGGGTGGTTGTAAGAATATTTTGGTGTTTCAGAAGGGATGGGCACTTAAATCAGGGCCCATGGGACTGGAATGGGTTTGAAATTACCATTGTGCAGTGTTGCTTAAAAAAGGTGAGCATCTCCATAGGAAACCATTGCCATCTGTTTTCAAAGGGAATAGAAATTGTGTTCCTTTCAGGGGCTACTTTATGACCTAGAACTGTTTCCCTTTTCTATTTTTAGGTTTGGAGATGTTTCTCTGCAGGAAAGTATTAATCAGGAAAATTTTGAACTTCTAAAAGAATATTACACGATATTTATGGAACAGATGCCTCCTGATTGTAAGTGTGTGAATTACAGAAAACAACAATAATAACTGCTTGATTATAAATCTTCAGAAGGGTCAGACATAGAGGTCAATAGAAGGAAGAAGCATGAAGGTTGGAGCAATTTTGAGATTATCAGAGCCGAAAAAAGGCTGATGGCCTAGGTGGCCAGGCCCACCGCCTGCTCATGTTAGGACATTAATGTCATTGCCATCAGAAAAAATGCCAGAAGTTAAAAGCTCCATTGAGTCCAGTAGAAATCCTTATGTCATTCTCGACCATGTAAAAGACTTCAACAAAGGTTTAGGTTTCTGATCGATAAGCTACATCAGATGCCTCATGCGCATACCAGGAGAAAATCAGGTAGGATACAAGTTCTGTGGGGAATAGAAAATGATACAGCGTAAGGAACCAATTATCAAATATACTTACTGCAATATTACCATGAGAAATGTTAAGGCATTCAAGCCTACAGAAATTTGATTCATACCTTTGGGTATTTGTTTTTTGGCCATTGTTCCGTTTTACTATTTTTCCCCACAAAACTAAGCACGTGGCATTTGAGCAGTCCAAACTCGGAGAAGCAGGGATGTCTTCCCAGGCCATTGATGAGGGGTACAAAATCTGTGGGTATGTTGAGATGTTCACAGCAATAAAAGACACTAAGTTCTAATAAAGTGAGAAATATTTTAATATTTTAACCGAAAGCTATAATAAGAGTCTACCTGTCACTGAGTCACTAGCAACATGTTCACTGCTCTGGAGATACCTGTCTCCTGACACTTGGGCTTGAACTACCTCAGGCGGCAGAGTGCTCAGGTCTTTTCATAGCACAGTGAACACAGTCTCGGAGTTTTATGGTGGCATGTGTGTGTCCATGTGTGTGTAGCTGGAACACTTCACCTGCTGTTTTACTGGATTTCCCATAAAACATCTTTAATGCCAAATGAAATTAAGTACAGGGAGGTTTTTTGGCAGCCAGCGTACTTATGAATTTCAGATTTGTTAATTCCTTGAAAATTTAATAAGATAAAAAAACTGTTTTTACACTGGAAATTAATGAGAAAAGGGTTTATTTAAGCCACGTGGGGATACTCCACGAATGGGCACACCCTTTTTTATACATCCTTTCGGAATCTTCATCGGAATCCAGGAGCGAGTGTCTGCAATCGAGCTGTTTTGACTGTGGAGTCTGTTTGTTCTGTCTGGGACTGTGTACCATGGACCTCTCCCGCCACATGGCCTTTGAATCCGACGTGGCTCTCAGACAGTTGTTCCCTCTGCCTTGACTCTGAGGCACGTTAATCATCAGACTCTACTTCCACTCACACGCTCCCTGGCCTCGTGCATCAGCTGGGGAACCAGTGGGGGAGGCATGCGGGCTTCTCTCTCTTCTTGCTCTCATCTTCCCTTTGGGTTTCATGATCTCTGAAACCTTTCAAGGCCCCTCTGTATCTGCCCAGATCATTAAGACACTAAAATTTGAGCTCAGCAAATAAAATAATAAAATGAAATAAATTAAGGGAAGCACTTCCAAAGTCACTAGCATAAACTCCTCCATGTTTTAGAGTCCCCATCACATTTGCTACATGATTCAGAGCAAACTGATGGTGATTTGATTAGATGAAATGCTGCTTTCTGTACCCTTTAAATGGGGAGTAACCACGTATCAGCTTATTGTATCATGTCAGGTCTCTCTATTCTCTCTCAGTGCTAATGTTCATGTCTTGCCCTTTTTACCAACAAAGGAGAAGAATACAGTCACACAGGTCTATTGGAATGCTTCCAGTTGTCAACTCCTAGGTCAGCACTGTAAGGGGGAGCTGTCTGGCCCTGTGAGCTGAGAAGGAAAAGCGGACTATTGTAACCTAGCTTTACAATAGTTCATGTCCCTGTCCCCAGTTGGTTTAGTGGTTCTGCAATATTCAGATGACCCTCCCCATCCCATTTCATTGCTCTGCTACTCTTGGAGTTGACACTGTCGTACATTTGGTCCCCTTGTGACTCGTGGATGGCTGGCATGACCTACGCCTGTGCCCAACCAAAGGGATAAAGAGTTTCTCTTCCCACTCGCACATACCCCTGAAACAATTGTCAAGGTCAAGGTCAGAGTCAAGTTCAATTGGCTTAGATTTACATGCACATTCCTGAACTGGTCCTGATTTCAAGAGTGATGGGGTTGTACCAGTTGACTTCAGAGTGAGAATGTGATTGATCCCATGTACATTTTATGCTGCTGCTGGTGGGAAATGGGTGGAACAGGAGCTGGGAAAACAACCATCATTTCCACTTCATCTCGGAGCACTCTGGCAACCTAACATCATTGACCATGAGGCGAAGAAGCTATTGCCTTGGCCTCATTAGTGTTGCAGGTCAATCAGCTGAGAGTGCACGGGCCTGCTCCTGCTCGTTTGTCCCTGCCCTGCCTTTGGTTCAGGCCGGTGTCATGGTCAGAACTCTTGCTGAGGAAGAAGTCCTGTTTGACAAAACAAGAACAAAGAGGGTACTGGAAAGTGCCTCTGGACTTGGCTGTTCTGTCCCATTGGGAAGTGGTGGGAGTCGGGCTCTGGGTGTGTGAATGTCTGTGACCCAGACCCCTGTGCTGGCCTGTGTGTGTGGATGAGAACATTTTCTACTTTGGATAAATTCCGACTTTTGCCTGAGAAAGCAGGCATCCTGTCCGAGGCTATGATCTCTCTTAAGAGCTACTAACATCTTCCTCTGTTTTTCAGAGTTGACACATAATTTTATAATGTAGTCTCTTCTGCCAAGACTTTTATTAATTGTTTTCCACCCACAGTTGATGAATCTTGACAAGGTTATTGTCCTTATTTTGCAGTGAAGAAATAGGGACAGAGGGTGAAGCAACTCGCTGAAGACCACGCGCCAAAGCAGGGACAGATTTGGCACAAGAAGTCATTTTTCTGGAACTTTTGGTTCCGTTCATTCTTTAAGAACAATTATTAAAGCTTTGAACAAACAGAAAAGTACAGATCATAAAATAATACTCAGAAATTCATCCCTCGGTCTCACAGACTTTGTAAGAAAGAAGTATTTTCAGTTAAAGGGGACTCCCTTTCGGTGGCCATCTTTTACCTTCACATTTCTGAGAAAACCGATCGCCTGAATTTGGTGTTTTGCACCTTCATACACATTCCTACTTCAAATGTATGTAACTAGAGAAAATATGGTACAGTTTTGCACATTTAACTTTGTGTTACTGCCGTTATCCTGTAGGAATCCTCTGATAGTTTACAATTTTTGCTCAACAGTTTTTAATATTGTATCCATGTTGATACATGCAGCACTTACTAATCTTACCTATTATATATGACATAGCAACAGTATATAATAGTTTACTGTTCTCTTTGTGCAATTTAATTTTTGTTTAATATTAAACAATTAAGTAATGAACATTCTTGTATCTTTTGCCTTTTAATTACATTCTTCAGCCCCATTTGAATAAAGAACACTCCTGTGGAGACAGGTGTAGAGATTCATTGCTGTCTAAATATCGTGTTAGGGGAATTCGGGACTGAGTAGCAATAACAAGATTTATTGAAGATATTTACATTCAAAGAGACTGATTTTCATACTCAGACCAATGTTCCAAGTGACTGTGACTTTTAGGGGATATATCAGGGTCTATCATTGAAATCTTACCTGTTAATCCACAAACTAGTCATTACTTTTGATACTTCTTCTGGGAAGTTCTGTGGCCTGCAAGATTTTTGTCAGGTTGAAAAACAACAGCATCAAGCAAAGTATTGGATTGATAGGGGCGTGCTCTATATAAGGCAAGTTTTATCATTAGAGATATAGGAAGAGTAACCTGGAAACTTTAAGCACATCAAAGTATCCTCCTTCTAAAAGGCGTGCCGTGCGGGCAGGTGCTGAAATTACTAAGGGATGTTGCGTCTGTCTGTGCTGGAGCACTAGCTCTAGAGCAGAGAATGGCCACTCAATGTCTGTTCAAGAGCTTGGTAGTTGGTTTAAAATGGCTGATTAAAAATTCTCTGTGTCAACAATGAAACTAAATTATTCTGAAAAAATTGTTGTGCTTTATTCTGGAGTCTCAGAATTCTGAAGAAGCTGGACCATTGTGTTAATACTGGAACTGTTCTTTAGTACCCACAGCTAACTGTGAAAACACCAGCATGGATTTGGAGGAAATTCCTGGTGTTGGGAGACCAGGTTTTTTATTTGACGCTGCCTCTGACTATGAGCCTTGTAAAAAAAGTCACCTAAGTATCTTGGATATCAGGTTGCCCTAAAGCAGTGCTTTGCAGAATTTTTATATTTACTGTATACATTCTCCTGATTCAGACTGGCTATTCAATAGTGAAAAATGGAAGGTTCTATCCCCTTGCCTCATCTGTGCCACACTTTGATTGAAGCAGTGATCATTATTAAGAATGGTTTTTCTTGCTGCTGTAATAGTATTATATATCCAGTTGATATTATCACAGTCCCATGGAATGGGGAATAGGGAAAATGAATTATATTTTTAAGGATAAAACTAAAGGATTAATAAGTATGATTATCTTCACATAGCCTGCTCCAAATGACATTGTCAAATATATTGAGGAAAATTTCGTGAGCACTTAATACTGACAGTGTTTTTTCTCCTTTTCTCCTTTTCAGACATCTCACATTTTCAAGAACAGCATGATTTAAAGGGATTACTAGAAAATCTCCATCAGAATATTCAAGCCAAAAAAAGGAAGAATGTGGAAATCATGTGGCTAGCCGCAACAGTAAGCACTGTCCTGTCAGAATCTGCTCACTGTCACCACGAGGACCAGCGAGCCTCATTGGGTGCCTCTGAGGCAGGGACCAACCTCCGCACTCTGAGTCACCAGGTGTCATCCTCCATCACCCAGGAGATGAAGTGTTTTCCGGGGCATTGGTCGTGCTATGAGTAGAATAGAAAACAAATTGGGAGAAGATGAACTCAGTGAGAGAGAATCCTAACCCATTCATTGGCTTTTCTCATAAATCCTGGATGTGTTTGACACTTTGAGGTTAAAAGGAAGCGTCTTTAATTTTCTTGATGTTGCATGTTTCAATGTCAATGGCCCATATCATGCTCTAGAGACTTATGATTTTAACAGAGTGTGGGGATCAGGTCTCTGACTCACAGCCTCTGTGAGGCTCCTGGACATATTGTTCAATTAATGAGCTTGTAAATGTGTTTGTTAATTTAGATATTGGCATAGAATACATTACTGATGGGTTGCTCTTGGGGTAATGAGCTATATATGGAGTGGTTCTTTCTCATTTAATGGCACCCTCCAGATAAAAGATCGCCCTGTTTTCCACTACAGAGTTCTACAAGGGTGAGCAAAGGAACCTTGCCTGTGTTTTGTCAGCTCCTGTCTGGCGACCATTCAGAAACAGTTCACATGAGCCTACAGATTCTGCTGAACAGTCAGACCCTCGGGAATGGATCTTTTCGTAGGAAAGGCATAGCTTGGGAATCTCCATGATGAGTCCCACATGTGTGGTTTCTTCTCAGCGTTCCTCATGGAGTTTGGAGTTAGGCCGACCCATCTTCTAGTGTGGTCTTTTCATTCTCTACCCGTAGTGTCTGAAACAGGGCCTTTCCCACCACTGCCAGGGCTTCACTTATAACCCAGTACTATTCCCTCTGTTCTGTGGGAAGGGAGTGGATAAATTGCCATGAGTCTAGATGTAAAATAACTTTCCAAGAGCAAGGCAGAGGAAAGCTGCTCTACGTTCCCTACTTGCCCTCTTGGAGCCCCAGGGAAGAGCATTAAAGGTAATGATATGAAACGTGGCTTTCCAGCAGCTCATCGACGCTGGTCCCAGTTAGCGCCATACTGTATTGCATGAAGGTTGTTTTTAATAGCTCTCTCCCCATTGTGGCTGCTCTTTGTGTCTTTGAACACTACTGTGGTTGTTAATTCTCACAGAAAATTCATGAAGGCAGGTTGGGAGTTATTTTTGCTATCCCGCTAATTACATGATAACACAAAGGAAGTCTGATCCTTTACCGATGCTCTCTGACAGCACAGGGACAGATACATGTCATTCCACACATACCAGGCAGTTGCGTATATGAGAAAATGAAGGATGCTCACATGTGAACACGATGTGTATTTTGTCTTAGTATATGTACTTTCCCATTTGAATGTAGAAACAAGTTTTCCCATAGTTCTATTTATTGATGAAATATTTTTATTAAATGTATATACTGACCAAATACGGCTTACTCACCACTTCTTGCTGCATTGAAGTACCTGCAGCCCGATGTGAGAAATTGGCCTTCTCTGGGGACATGACTTTATTATTAACAGCATATCTGTAGGCTGATAGCTCAGTGTCAATATCCTGTAAACCTGGCAATGCTGCTAGAATGAAGAAATACAGACATCCCCTTTGACATTCTCCAGAAAGCTTTTGCTTCGGCCTCTGTTTCCTTACTCCCTTCTTTAAATCTCTTAGTGAAAATACTCCTCCTGATAAAGTTTTACATGCTAATTGAGAAATCTAAAGCTACTTGATTTTATTTTACCCGAATTTTTAAAAATAAAAATGAGACTTTACAGACCAAGCACCAATCGGATGTGTTAAATGAAGCTCATACACTTTGGGAAAGTGGTAGAAATGCAGAGACCAAACCCAGCCTGTCTCCTTGGTGGGATTGCCCCCTGCATGCAGTAGTGCCCACACAGCTTTAAATACCCATTCTTTTTAAAAATCTATCTCCTTGGTGGATGTTGAGGTTTATATTTTATTACTATGACTACAGCCCCTTCTTTGTTATTTTGTATTGAAATCTAAAAAATACAGTTCACTTGAAAGAATTGGAGTTCTCTAGATGGAAAAAGATCATATGTTGAAATCATTCTCCTCCTTGTCTTTAAGTCACTTCTACTGGAAGTGGTGAGAAAGTACCAAAGGTCTAATAAGGCCTTTGGTAAAGGTAAACCCTAAATTAAGTATAAGAATCACTATTAAAATACAGTTTAAGCCCTTGATACACTGTATTATTATTATCCTCTCCTCAAAGCAGGCGACTGTTAAGGTCTCCGTGGTGGCAGATAATAAAGCAGGCTTATATCATATTACATTAGATTCATTGTAAGTGCATGTTGCTTAGCACTGTTGATGCTAAAGTTGATTATTGGTATCTCATATCAGGGATACACCATGGGGTAGAGAAGAGAAAGGAATGGAATGAATCACTTGTCCACCTTAAGGTGATGAGAAAAGCAATTACTTCTCCTGATTTATATCAGAGTAACAGCAAGAAAGAATGACAGACCGAAACAGAGTAGGGTGGAAGTTACAGATTTGGTCCTTAGAGTTAAGTAGACTTACATTAGCATCAGTTGTACACAAGTTATTTGACCTATCCAAACCTCAGTGTCATCACCTGTAAATTGAAAATAATCATACCTTCCTCCAGGGTTCATGTGCAGTTAATTAAATTTCAAATCTATATGAAGTTTATTAGCATGGCACCTGGTACACAGCGGATGTGCAATTAGCAGTGGTCATAGGTATGGGACTGGTCCTCATTCCTATCAGTTGTATTGATGAGTGGTCAGTGGTTCCCTCACCTGCCACACTGGTACCATGGGGATGTTTGAAATTTCATAACATGAAACCAAGACTAGAAAGGGTCATATTCATTATTCAGGATTCGAATCAAGTGTCTAGTCCAGGATACGTAGATGGTTTTTGCCTACACAATGAAGGTGTCACTCCTAAGTGGCTATCCTTCTGGTTACCCCAACAGCTTGGGAGCCCTGCCAGGGACCATGGCTGCCTCTGCTGAATATTTATCCCCCCCACACAGCGTCAACAGTCCCACACCTCACACCATACAGAGAACCACAGAAAATCTAGCTTTCCACTCACTTTTGACATGAAAAGGTACAGCTTCTGCGTTCAGTAGGGCAGATCGGACCAGCAGACTACCGTGGACCAAGCTACATGAGGTGTGCTTAGACAGGAAGAGCGTAGGAGTCCCACCCTTTAGAGTGCCCGACATGTGAACAATCGTGGGGTGTGCGTTTGTGTTGCAGATTTGTCGCAAACTCAACGGCATTCGCTTCACCTGTTGTAAAAGTGCCAAAGACAGGACGTCGATGTCGGTGACGCTGGAGCAGTGCTCCATCCTGAGAGATGAGCACCAGCTGCACAAGGACTTCTTTATCCGGGCCCTGGACTGCATGAGGAGGTACTCCACCTGTCTAACTGCCTCTCTGTGGGAGTCATCGCGCGATTTCGGTTTGCTTTTTTGGTTTGTGTGTTGCCCAGATCCATATTTTACTGGAGGACTCACCACGTAGTAACTTCACTGCATTTCCATGGCTTACAGCTTTTCACTCATGACGTGAAAGATGATGCACTTTGAAGTACCCCTCCTACTCATTCTAGGCAATAGAGGAGAAGGTGGCTGGATCTTGATACAATGCATGGAGATTCTGTTTCGTTAACTCATTTAGACTTAAGTTAACAGGCTCTGGTCTTTTCAGATGCCATACTTGATGAGCACAGTGTCTTTGTCTGTAAGTGGTTATGAACGTGCACAGAATAAAACTAAGTCACAATCCAAAGAAAACCTTTCCAAACGGCTACTACGGGTGATCTTCCCATGGGTTGCAGGGGGTCCAGGTGGGTAACCTCCTTCGGACAATTATTTTCACACCATGCATTGTGCAGATGGGATGGCACTGGTAATAGAGAATTAACAGTGGTGCTCCGCTGACATTAAAAATGCAGTGCCCGGAGTCATGTCTCTTGATTCATTTCCACAGTAATTAAATCTAAAGTCAAAGCCATAATGGGAAGGAAAAAGTGCCCCATTCCCAATGTCTGTCAGCAAGGACACACGTTAATTAAAAAGTTAAACAAAATCGTCTCTTTGCCGCAAAGACTGATGCAGAACCAAGCCAGGATGCATGGGGCGGGCGCCTGGCTCCCAGAAAGGGACGTCCTGTGCTTGTCTGGAAAGGGCTGCTTATGCCATCAGCTTCTGCTTGTTTTTTAACTGCTCTGGTCTTCCAAGGGAGACTCTGCTGCTTCCTGTGCCTGTGTGTTTTCCCCACTAATGAGAGGTTCGAGTTCTCTGTTTCACCCCCTTGCATGTTTCTTGCCATTTCCATTGTTCGGGAAATTGTTCTATCACGATTTTCTGATAGATGTACGAGGATGTCCTACAGGACTGACATGAACATCTGAGCCATATAAAACACATTTGGTTGATATAAAAAACTTCTTTCAGAAGTAATCTCTCTTTTCAAAAATCTATCAGGACTAGTGGGGAAATTTAGAATCAGAGGGTGAAATCTTTTAACGTGCATAAAAAGGATGAAAGTGTCACTGCAGATGGACAAAGGGGCTGGAGAGGAGAGCAGGGACGTATGATATGATAGACCAGAGGCACCCGAGGACTGAACTGATTCAACCAACGTAAGCTGTCTGGAAGGCGAACTTGTTCCTTATTTGTTTCAGGTGGTGGTAATGGTTATTTCTGACAACATTTTCCAGGGTCATGATTTTGGGGAAGGAGAGGATTGGCAGAGCCTCTTACTCCACACTCTGGGGCCCCTCCATCCAGTGCCTTTAAAATGCACATCATAATCACTGTTTTAAAGGCCTTTAGTTTTTATGTGTTTGAATGTATTGGAGTGTTTTTTAAATTTTTGTTTAACATCACCTGCAATTTTTATTTTACCTTTGAATTATTCTAGCCACACTTCAGGCTATTTGGTCTGAATTCTTTTTAAGTTCACTGGGGTTGCAATATCACTGCCTTCCTACTTTTATTTTTCCCTTATCTATATTAAATTTTCCCATTTTATTGTCTCTGTAAAAGTTTCAAATTATTATATATAGATGAGCAAACTGTTGTTGATAAAAAGAAACAAATAAAGCTTTATCTATCTGATTATTTACAGACCCCCACACCAGAATAAGCTGCACGAGAATAGGTATTTCCATTTCTCTTTGTTCACTGAAAGGACACCAGTACCTAGAACAATGCCTAGTGATAGTAGGTTCTCAATCAATATTCTATGAATACATATCCAGTTTTCCTTGGCAACTGCACACTCCCGACATTAGCCTCTAGTTACAGTCTGACTGAAATGGAAGAAGGCCATTTTCAAACTAGAAAGTTAGCAAGGGGTCTGAGCACATCTGACTCTGTAAGGAACTCTTAGTAGTTGCCTGTGTTGTGAGACCAAAACAATGATTCTCAACCCTCATGGTCCATTTGAAACCCTGGGGTGCCAAAGTTAATGGCAGGAGTCCCACGACAAACTAGCTTCTGGAATGGAGCCAGGGTTGAGAACACTTGACTCAGGTCTGCCTCACTGAAACCAGACACACTGCCGTAATCGATTTGAATGGCTTTGTGGTAAGACTATAAGCCAGTCTCTGAACTCTGTCTTTGAATTTCGACATGTGTGTGTATTGTCAAATTCTCCCTTGATCTTCCACAGCAGATATTTACAAAATGGTGGCTGTGTAATCAGCAGATTTTTTTTTAAAGAAAGAGAGAATGCAGTATCAGCATTTAGTTTTATGTTAGGGAATCTCCATTGAATGCCACCTCATCCTACTGCACTTTCAGAAGCATTTCTGGTAGGGATTTCACCCTTCCATTTGATTCATAAATCATTAGGGTTGGAATTAAAGCACCAGATTTGATTGAGTCATAGAACGTCATGTTTTATCCAAAAAATCATTGTGTCGGGAAATTTAATTGGCTCTAAGAAGTAAATTGAAATGAATATGCCAGGGCACTGTTACCTCCCTTATAGGAAGTCTGGAATTATGGGTTCATATTGTATAACAGGGTGACACCATTACTTACTTGTCTGTCTCTAACTTTTATTTTCCTTATGCTACATTCCTCTTCAATCTGTTGTCTTCTAATGGCTGCTTAAAATTAAGATGGCTGATATGTCGTTAGTAAAATTAATCAAGGTGTGTTTCAGCCTACAACCTATTTATCACCCTTAAGATACAAGGCTTTAATCATTCTATTTTAGTAAATATTTAATTCATAGAGAGAGACTAAAAGGCCCATCATCCTTATGGAGTTTTATGATCTCGTTGAATGTCACGTTCTCAACCTGCTGCACCTGAAATTTTTACGTTGGGGAACATAATTTATTAAATATTCTGCTTTATAAGTAAGTGACCTTTCATTAATTGATATCTGTAAAGGCTTTATTTATTTCTTGTGACTTGCTCACAGGAAATATGAGTAAGAAGTGCTTTGTTGGCATCACCTTCTAATTATGTAGTTCATTTGTGTTGAAGTAGAAAAACATCTTTCTTCTTTTCTTAGTCTTGTTTCTACTTTGGCTTATTTTTCTTTGCTGGTACTAGTTTGATGGTACTAGACAGAGGAGAACTGCTATTTTTTAATATTATGCCCTATTTCAAATACTAAAGTGAATAATAAGCATTGCAGACATAGGTAATTGAAGCTTTTCGGTATTTCTTGACTCTTTGAAAAGGATGTGTTTGCGCAGAACAGTATAAGTGAGAATAGCTTTCCCATTGTCACTGAGTGTTCTCTCTTCCCTTGAGAATCTGTGGTGTGTTTGCCTCATCACTTCAGCTCTCATCTGTGACAAATAACAGTAATAAGCCCAAATGGAGTGACTGTCATCTTGGGGTTGCTAATAATTACATGACAACCACCCCATTTAGGATGTTTTTTTACTCCCGCTGACTGTAGGGTAAAAGATACTGCAAAGAATACACTTCTTTAAAAATCATAGTGGAGCAAGTAACTCTTAAGATGTCCACAGATGCGCCATCAGTAGAGAATTGATCCTACTGGAATGATCACCATAACCTGCCTCTTCGAAAAAACTCTCACCTCCTTGAACAAAATGCGTGTGCTAATCTAGGCACGCTTCTTCATACATTTACGTGTGTCATTATATTTTATTACCAAAAAAGTAGTGGTTTTGAGGTCCATTTCTTCTCCCTAAGTTTCTTGGTATATATTTGTTTTCTAAGTATTTGTAACTGAAGACCCTGTACTGAGCACATCGCCCACAGCAGCTACCTACTTTATACACACCATTCTGAATAAGTCGTTGCTTTCAATTCTTGAAATTATTCACTGAGGACCTAGACATATAAGTGTATGGGATATTTTTTATTCAATTAAATGAAATCAAATATAAATATAAATGCAGGTAGTTAAAATAAATTTAACTTCTGCCACAAACTCAGGTTTTTAATCTCAGGAGCACCTGGGGTTAAGAGTCTGCACCCTAATGCCATTATCTGTGCACCTGTGAGCAAGTTCCTCCATCTCCAGGCCTCAGTTTCCTGGTCTGTGAACGAGGGATAACAGTGTCTGTCCGTCCTGTAGGCGTCGTTACATGGGAGCACGTACCTAAAGTCCCCGTGCCCAGGGGACCAGGGCAGCTCTGCTTAGTAAATGTCACCTGTGCTCTGTGTTCCCTCCCCATCCCCCATTTCTCTGAACATCCCTCCCCTGAACCTCCTGAAATTGAGGGATTTCCCTGGTCTTCAGGGTCTCAGAAGAGAAGTCTCAGGATTGATACCTGGTTTCTAAAAGGCTTAGCGTATCTCTCCAAGATCATGGCAGAGAAGGTTTGGGGATCAAGGAGCCGCTGACCTGGAACAGGGGTTGTCTGTGCTCCACTGATAACAGTGTCCCAGTGCTCAAGCAGTGGGACGTGTGGGGGCCCAACTCCGGAACGCCCACAGGCTTCACCAGCAACTTAAGGAAGCCAGGAGCCCCATCTCAGGAGACCACGTGGGCAGAAACCTATCAGCTATTAGCGAGATGACTGATGCCTTCGCACTTGGAAAATGAGTTGTAGCAGGAACTAGTCCTAGAAAGGGCTTGTTCTTACTCAAAAGCCTGAGATGCAGGCAGCCCGGGCTTGAACAATCTGTACAGAACAGTCACGCCAAAATCTACAAAGTTTGTTTATGTTCCTGGAAGACTGAGACACAGGAACCAAAGCGAACCCCTGAACACCATACTGTGTTCAAAGAGTAAAGCAACTCAGAGTTAACTTGGGCATGTGAAACAAATATCGAGGTTCTGTCTCAAGTCTTGTTTACTTTAAAAGTTTACAAGTTGGTTTGGGCATCCAGTTCCCATATTAGGATGCTCCCCAGATTGCGATCATTCATTTAACCACCTAGTGAGTTTTCCACATGTCACATGAA